TTATTGACTTCCATAGAGTCCTCTGTTCTCCTATTCTTTCCAATACCTCTTCATTTCTAACCTTTTCTACCCACGATATCCTCATCATCCGCCTATAACACCACATTTCGAAGGCTTCTAACCTTTTCTTTTCCGCCGCGCCCACTATCCATGTTTCGCACCCGTACAACGACGCGCTCCAAACACACCTACAACAATATTTTTCGAATTTCTAAACTAACTGACTTCTTTTTATTAAAGGCGACTCGACCCTGCGCTATCCTGTGCTTTATATCCCTACTACTCTTTCCGTCCTGACTTATCTGACTTCCTATATATATCTAAAATCAGCCACTTCTTCTAATTTTTCGTCTCCTATCCTTATATTCGCTCATTCCCTACTTTTTCTTCCCTTGCATATCAGTATTTTAGTTTTACTTTTATTTATTTTCACACAGTACTGATCTGTCAGTACCGCTTCCATTTTATTTAAAGCTATCTATAGGCCCTCCTTGCTAGATGTTAATACTGCTAAATCATTAGCAAATCTAAGCATACTAATCATTTGCCCCTGTATATCTATCCCTAAAGTTGTACTGTCTGTAATGATGTTGATCGCGTCCTCGATGTATGTAGATTGGAAAAGTAGCGGTGACAGTGTGCATCCCTGATTGACTCCTATTGTCTATCATTAACAAAACTAGTAGTTATATTAAGTACATATACCTTACGAATTAGTACCCAGAAGACAATTAATAATGAACAGTAATGAAATATCCTTTTTTATCATATGAATCTCCGGGAAAATATGAGAATATTTCGGTGAAAGTCAGAAAATAAAAAGAAATTCTTTGCAAAAAAAAGTATGAATAAACAGTACGTTATATTTGCTCTTTTTGGACGCTCCAATCCAGATATAACTAATAAATAAAGCATGTTATAAAAATTTTATGTTCCATAAGAATGTACTTTTGATATGGTACGTTATAAGCGTGAGTCTGTAATATACGTGTACGTTATAAGTGAGTTTCACTGTAGGTAGGTATATGGAAAAGTACATTACGAGTAAACCATCTGAAGTTTTAATGAACAACCCCGTTCAGATCAATCATCGTTATTTATGAGAACGTCGATAGTCGTGTAGTTTAATCTAGTTTTAAATTGGCATCACACAAGAATGTATCGATGTGTGTACCTGCGCTGCATGTGTGTGTGTGCAAATCTGTATGTACCCTTCGACGGACGGGGACGAGACGCAGTTGAGCAATATGGACGTTCATGCAGAATGCAAATTTAACGAGTTTCTTTGGGCCACCCGGCATAATGAAACGAGCGCCACAAGGCCATAAAGAAAGTTTACACGAACTGATAACAACTAACAGAGAAGTAAAGGCCTAATGTATCAGGCCGGTCGCGGTCGCGCTGCGTTTTAAATTAAAAACTTGTGACTAAGCACCCGGCCGATGCGACCTCTGAATTAAACCGAAGCTCGGAAAGACTCACGAGCAACGAGCGCAACCCGCCGCTCTCTCGAGCTCCACGTTCAAGTAATGAACGCTATGTAACCTATCAGGAGGCTGGCTTGTTCGCGAAATTATGTTTATGTGTTGTTAATATATTCATACGAGAACGACGTAGGAGGCGAGAATGTGTTTTGCAGCGCCTTATTGTGTCACCCCCGGATCCGCGGACCTCTGTTTACCGATGCAACCATCGGCCGACATCTCGACTATACAAAACAAAAAGAGAAAAAACCGATCGAAGACACGTTCATCGTGCCAGTGCAGTTTTTTGAAGTTTTTACGTCGTTGCAATGGATATGTTAGGTATAATCTTTACAAAAACATAAATGTGAAGTTCGGTAGAAACGATGAACGGGGTAGTCGGCATTGCCGAAATGAAAGTTGACATCTGAACTGTACAAGGGCGGGCTGAAAAGTTCGTAGGCTGACCCATATATGGCTCTACTAGTATCAAATCCATATGATTTTTAGTTAGCCCTAAACTTCAAAAGACACGTGTATAAATTTGACAGCTGTTGCACTATTAGTATCCGAGTTATAGCATTTTTAGTGAAAGAACTTTTGCTGTTTGAAAAAGAAACTGCTATTTCATCAAGACAATGCACCGTGTCACAAATCAATGAAATCGATGGTAAAATTCCATGAATTGGGCTTCGAATTGCTTCCGCATCCACCGTACTCTCCAGATCTGCCTCCCAGCGACTTATTTCTGTTCTCAGACCTCAAGAGGATGCTCGCTAGTTCAAGGTCACAATTGTAACAAATTGAAATGGACTGTAATTGCCGAAATTGAAGCCCATTTTGACGCGAAAGACAACTATCATAAAAATTGTATCAAAAAATTGTCTGCCGCTTTAATCGTTGTATTGCCCTCGAAGGGAACTATATTGAAAAATAAAATCAAATTCTATCAAAAAAAAATTTTTTTCTATACTACCCTGCGATGTTTTTAGCCCGCCTGTTACGTACTGAACTTGACTCCTTGACTCCCCAAGCTATTATCGTATTTTCTTTATTTAAAGTGAGTTCATTGTGCGTTTTGATTAATTCGTATAAGCAATGTAAACGTAAACGTAATCTCTCAAATATTTAAAAGTATCAGTGTGTCTACAAAAATAAATTGCGCTGAGAACATTTACTTACAATTGCTTGAACAAAAAAAAACATAGACAAAACAAATTTTATCGTTGTGAACCAAACGTTCGGCTACGCCACGAAAAAGGATTCAAAAAATGTTTTCTCTTCACATCCCTTTTCGCCGTTCTGTTCTCGTCGTCCAGAATTGTGCAG